GTAAAATTAGATTTACATGTTATTACAATTTATTTTGTTGTATCTCACTTCTATTTTTGATAAGATTGTTAATTTTCATTACTTTTTTTATATTATTCAAAAAACGTTTTGGCATTTATTCTAATAAATATAATAATAATTAAAAAAATAACACAGTTGCATTAATTTTACCTAGGTGATCATTAAATTTTTTTATTTAAATGGTTAAGTACATACATAGTTAAATTTTTTTCTAATCCTCAYTTCATAATTTTCTCAAAACACTTTGACTATAAAAAAAATTTTCATTTGGAGCGGGACAGTCTCAATATGATAGTGATTTCATATTCAATAGTTATTTTTATTATTACAAATAGGTGCATTAATAATATGATGTACCTATATGTATAGTATTTCTCAATTGTTTTCAACTGGAACTTTTTATTTTTACATCGTAATTAAAAAATTGTGCACTTAAGTATTCATTTGTGTTTCAAACATATATATATATATATATATAATGCGCATTGTCCTTTGAACCAAAATAAACGGTGTATAGGTAATATAATATATACGTATATATAAAATAGCCTGAACAAATAATATGTAAATTGCTTCTGATAATGAAAAAATTTTCATTCATATTATACGTGTGATATATCAAACGGAGCTGATTTGCAATTTTATTTAGTTTTTTCTTAATAATCGAAAGAAAAAATTGCMTATAAATTTTAATAAAAATGGTATGCCATTTATAATATACATATATTTATACATATATTATTTAAACGTGTGTATATGTATGTGTGAGTAAATTGAGTATCATTGATTCTCAGTAGAATATAAAATTTGCCAACCATACGAAAATGGCAAAACAAGTCGAGTATGACATGTCTCTGGGGTTATATAAAAGACGAGAAAAATCCTAAGGAGAGTATCCTTACATAAGTSATAATAAAGGTACTGGTCTACGAGGGAGTAATTTAGAAATTGAATYGAATCACATACATCTTTTTTGTGTTTTTTTTATATTGGAAGTCCTCTGATAATTAGTTAACAATAACGTTAAAAATAGAAAAGAAAACTGAAGGAAGAAAATCTAACCGTAAAACTTATTCATAATATATATTATTATAAATTATAATTATATTTATTTATTGTATTACCTTATGAGTTTAAGACATTTGATTCGATTTAAATATGGTCTGGTCATAGCACAAAAATAGTATTGAATAATATAATACTATTTTATTATTTTTGACAAGTTTATTTTTTTCAAATAATTTAATTTAAAATAAAAATTCATTTTTATTAAATATTCCTTACGTAATACCGAGTATCGGAATCTGTCAAAATGGCTATCATGATACGTTGAATACATTGAATACATTTTTATTAAAAAAAATCTAAACACATATAATGTGACATTCATTGAAAACAACATATTTTTCCGACGTATCTGAGTTTTAATATTCCGATCTTAACACTTTAACCCAACCATACGGTTAATCTCATTGAAGTGTTAAAATTTCCATTTATTACTCTTTATCGTGTTAGTCTTTGATTTTAAGTTTTTTTTTCATATTTTATTCCTTTGTGCCTCGTCTTATGTTTAATGATACTCCTAAAATAAGTACAAGTTTAAAATGCGTGAAATGTGTATACGTAAAAATGTTTGTCCTATTATATAATATTAACTATATTATCATATTGTCAAAAACACTGAACCACTCGAATTTGACCGTTTCTACAAGACGTTTGAGGTTTCCAATGACGAAATTGTTCACTGTTTTAAAATGCATTGGTGTAAAATGCATTTGGGCGTATAAAATACGCGAATGAATGTATTTTCGTTTTTTTTTTTTTTTTTTAACAAACATAAGAGGACTTATGAGGAACCTTATATTAAATTATTTCGTTTATTCGCTGAGGAACAAAAAGCAGTTTTATCAACTTATATCAAAAATAAAACCTACAATAGTATCTTTATTGATAAATATAATAATATATTAATTTATAGTTAAYGAATAACTCAAATGTTCAATAGATTTAAATTAAATAAAGAAATATGACATTTGTTATATTTCATACCATGATGTCTAAAAATATTTTATAATTTGTACACACACGATTCGGTAATATTTCT